TTTTTTTTTTTTAATTGTTATTTATACATTTTAGAAGCCACTTTTGCAGTTGTTTGAGGGATTAGGAGCTGCAAATTCTTTAGGTTTTAATCTTGTTCTCTCTATTCTACGTAATTGATCTTGATCAGCGCTATGGAGCTCTAGTGTTGATTTTGTTTCTTTATTGTGTGAAGAGTATATGGAAGCGTTTGAGTGGATGGACTTCATATTTGCCTTGGAATAAACAATCAACCTCGTCGACAACGGTACAGTCAGAAACATCATTTTTCTCAATTTGGTGGATATACTGTTCATAGGACCATTTCTTGGCCGTGGTGATGTTACTATTTGCTATTATGTCTAATTGACAATTTCTCCTGCATTAAATTCTCAATTTTTATTACCGAGTGCTTGTAAAATGAGTGATAAAGCTCTTTTCTGAGTTGTAGTGCTTACAATTTTGCTTTAAACAAGTTCCCTTGACTACACAGAATCATGACTTAAAAACCATTTAAAAGCATTGCAATTAGTTAATAAAGAAGTTTATAGGTTGTGCATCTTCTTGATGATAAAATATGCTCTCATAACATGATTGTTTCCCTTGAGAAATTCAAAGAACCAAGCATATTCTTACCATGGTGTGGACTCGAGCTCTTGTTGAAGTGTTGTGTGATTATAGCTGTTGTTATCAGTTGTGCATGGTCTTTGTTGTAATAAACTATAGTGCACCAGAGAACTTTGCATGTGCTGCTTCAGTCCTTTTGAAATATTCCAACTGCTGTATTCCCTTTGCCTTGGTCATGATTCTGGCTGTCTTTATGGTTTTTTTCAAAAGAATAAAGTTCCCTGAGAGAAGTCTCACAACCCTTATGACCTTATAATTTTTTATAATGTCATCTCATATTAGTGTCTTTCATTTTCTAATCATCAGATGTCTTTCATTTTCTATAATCAAATTAAGGGCCCATTACATGGTACTTGTTATCACAGTTTGCATCTCATATGTTTTCTTTCATGTTTCATTTGTGTAGATACCTTTCATTCTTTTTGAAGGTGATCAATGGCCACAATCTGGTTGTATCATTGCAAACTTAGATGTCTCCAGACATCCCATACCTCTCACAACAGTTTATGATGAGTTGCAGCCTGCTAATGCTTCTCCTTATACACTGCTTCAGGCTTTGTGTGATCAGAGACACCATGTAAGTTTAGGGAAATAATTAAACCTTTGCTTCTTTTTTCCCTGAATATAACTGATGTTCCATTTCTTTTTGATGGGAATATAACTGATGTTCTGATTGTATACTAAACTAAAGATTTTATTCCTTTAAAATGTAATTTGATTTATTTTCTAGGTTGGTCTGCTTGATGAAGAGAAAATTCTTCCATTAGGAATGGAAATGGGACCACTTGGAATCTCTAGTTTCAATAATGGAGTACTTGAAATAAAGACATACATGCAGCTTCCCTATCTTCTGTAAGGGGGTTTGTTTGTGGAAGTGTTCTCGGCCTTTTTCTTTTGAACTTGCAGATTTCTTGCTCTTAATATACATGAAGTTGTTTGTTAAATTTTTGCTTCTTCTTTGGAGTTAGCTGCCGTCTTAAGTATTAAGAATAGTAACTCTTCGTGCAGCCCCCATCCTCTCTCAACTAAGTTTTGCATTGCCTTTTATGATGCTTTACTGCTTTAGCCACTTTTTTACTTAATAAAGAAATGGATACATGAAAATTCCAAGTTTATCCAACTATCTGATGTCTCTGCTCCCTAGAAAATGTAAAGTACTCAATGAATATCATCACTTGCTTTATATGTACATGTTGCAATTTTTTTCTTCAAATCTTTCTTGAGGTGCTGCTTTCAATTGAATAACTGAATTTGTGCTGGTGTTTTGCAGGACTGACGTGACAAAGGATCAGATGATGTCAAATTTAGCCTTCAGGACAAAGATGCTATTTTGGAGTGGGATTTTTCTCGGTTCATTCTCCTTTGGTATTCTTGGATTTGCTGTTGTGAGGTATTTCTGTTTTTTGCATTTGAAGTACTAATTATCTCCTTATTTCTCTTTTACTTTTAAAAGTCATTCCTTGACACACACTATTAGCCTGTTGCCAGTTTAGTATAGTTATTTATTTGTTTCAGTTTCCTCATTAGCTAGAGTTGCTGTTACCCAATTTGTTTCCCTTTATCCAAGGTAAACCTAACTCATTACTAAGATATCTTCAGGAAATGGAGCAAATGGAAAGTGCAGAGGGAACAAAGAAGGTATCAGCAACCAGGACATGTTGGCACTGAACCAAGAAGGCATCAGCAACGAAGGCATGTTGCTATTGAACCAAGAAGTGTTGTTAGTAATGATGCAACAGCACAGATTATGGAGGGAGGTGAGATGAGTGATGGTTGGTTTGCTACATCACAGATTGCAGTGGAAGAGGAGACGGGTGGAAGTTTGTTTGAGCTACCGAGAAATGCTGCCAGCAATGATGCATCCCCTTTGACTGTGGGGAAGGAGCCAATAGATAATGCTCCTGACAAAACATTGTGCTTGATTTGCTGGACAAAGGAAAGAAACTTTCTATTCATCCCGTGTAGGCATCTAGCTTGTTGTCAACAATGTGCCATGGCAATCGAACATGAAGTGCCGCGAAGATGCCCTTATTGTCGCCAACCAATTCAACTTTCATTTAGTGTATACATACCTTGAGAAAGATGATATCTCCTTTCATTGGTGCTCTGGAAAAACCACAGTTGCTTCAATGATGTATAAAAATATCTGAATTTTTTTTTTAAACGAAAATCTGTACATGTTTACATTTAGAGTTTTATATTTTGTGATCTAAAGTGCACAGGACTACAAAAATATGGATGGTTGAATGAGGGTGAGAGGCTGTCTCCTAAATCAAAGTTAACATTTATATACTTATAGAAATTACTTATAAAAAGGTGTAATAAATATAATTAAAGTAGGGTAAAGATTAGAAAAAGAGATTTTAAAATTATTAAAAATAAAAACTAATAAAATTATTAATTTATTTAATAATATTAAAATTATTTTATTTTTATTTATTAAATAATCTTAATTATATATTATATAAATAAATATAAAACAGATTCTTTTATTTAAAATTATAAAAATTTATAAAAATTACATTTATATATTATTTTTGTATTAACCTCTTGGTATTCGGTAATTATATTGAGTATTAACTAATTTAAAATTAAGTAATGTCAGATTTTATAAATAAAAACTCTTTCAATATCTATGTTTTTAATTACAAAACTCAAATTTAATATTTTATTTTTTAAAAAAATCAAATTTATTCACCTTGAACGAACATGTTGATTGTAAATTACATCTATATTAAAGAAATGAAAACTATGCAGTTAAACGCATCTTAAAAAATGATCCGGGTCCTAAGATTCCGACCCAATGACCCATATGATTAAAGACCTCTCCAGTCCCTTGGCTTAATTCCCAGTCCAAGGACAGTCGGAGAGTGGTTGGATCAGCACTTCTCAATCACCGTAACCGCCTCAATTACCCAAACTAATCGGTCACCGCAAAAATCTCAGACGACCACCGGTCTCTGTAGCTCTTTCTCAACCGCATACCTCCGCCGCCACAACCGGGAGTAACCGCGCTCCACACGTGCCAGTGACGCGACGGTTTCTGGTGTGAAGTTGAAGAGATGGCGGATGATCGAATTTTTGTGCCCTTATCCTTAGTCTCGCGGCTGGCCCTCGCGTTCGACGGTGCTATTTTAGGCGTGGTCCTAGCATGCTCTGCCGTTCGTGCTCTCCTTAAGCATAGGTCTGCCTCCTCTGCCCTCAGTAAAATCCAGAGCGCCCCATCCATTAGCATCGGCGACCTTCGCAGCATCATCAGTGCTGAGCAATCTGAGTCGTCCGAAGAGCCCCTCGTGGTTGTACGCGGAACCGTTGGCGTCAAACCAGTTGTGGAGGGCGGGAGCTGGAGGAGTCTTAAACCTCATGTTCTAGTCTCGCAAGAGTCTAGGGACAAAGCTGTGATTATACAGAGTATGCAAACAGTAAGTGCAGTGATCTTTTAACTTTTTAATAAGTTGTGTTTGATGGAGATGATTACTGTTAAAGATTTTATGTCTTATTTCGTGAATTTTAAGTTTATGTAAATAGTAGCAATGTTGATTTTATTTATTTATTTGCTTTTGTTGTGAAGTGTATATACAGTGAATGGAAGGGCTTCTTTGGATGGTCTTGTGATGTACGTGCTATGCTTGGAGAATCTTTGAATAAACAAGGTTCAACTTCACTGAGAATGGTAAATTTAGAATTCTTTTCCTCCTTAATTAGCTTGTTTCTAATTTTATTTATATGGCTCTTTCAACCTGTTAGGATGCTGTTGTTCCAAATTTATGCATTAGTATGCATTAAATTTTCAATTTTGTTGCTATAAGTTTTCTTAAAAGAACAGCTGAAATTATTTGTTTGTTAAGGGTTCATGCTATTTTGTATGAAACAAGTTTTCTTTTTCAATGTGGAATCCTGCTTTTAAATCATTCAAAAGGATTGTTATTGGTTAATGGAAATCTTCAGTGATGTCTTATTAGACGTACCAAAGAATAATATATGTTTCTGTAACATGACTGTCTTTCACAGAGTGAACTACTCCATTGTAATTTAACCACCATGTGAATGAAGAGTTTGATGTTTCAAATATCAGTCCTGTATGGTTTTATATTAAATGAATTATAGTGTTCCTCAAGACATCCAACGAGTTGCTGGAGTGAAGTGCCTACATAGAATCAGGACCTATCTAATCTCACTAATTAATATCCATATATCCTTTTGCATAAATGTGTGTTTATTGTTTATTGAATGGAATTCAGGACCCATGAAATGGAGTATTTTTGTGTTTATTGGAGCAAAGGATCTTATTTTGTTATGTTATTTGTTTAAATTTTGCAGGTTCCTTTCATTCTTGTTGAAGGTGATCAGTGGCTCAATGTGAACTTGGTTGGCTCCAAACATCCCCTACCTCTTACTACAGTGTATCACCATGTGCACCCTATCAGTGCATCTCGTTATACATTTCTTCAGGCATTGTTTGGTCATGAATATCCTGTAAGTTTAGAAAAATTGTTATTTTTTGTTTCTGCTTCACATTGTCTTGAAAAATATAAATATGCAAGCTTCATGCATTCTTGTTTTGTTTTTGCATTAGTTTTCATATTGATATTTCAATCATATTAAAGTCCAATTGGCCTTTTCTTTTAAAGGTTGGGCTGCTTGATGAAGAGAAAATTCTTCCATTAGGAAAGGAAATCAGTGCTGTAGGCATCTGTAGTTTCAATGATGGAGTAACTGAAATCAAGTCATGCAAGGAGCTTCCCTATTTTCTGTAAGGGTGTTTGTTCTAGAAAACAATTTGTTAGCTTTACAATTTGACTTGAAATTTTCTTGCTCTTGATTTGGGCAAAAATTGTTTGCTTTAAAATTGTTTGCTTCTTTATACATAGTTGCTGCCTTAAATATGCTTGTTGCCTTAATGTGCAGTTTTACTTCTTGCCCCTGAAGCAACAAGTTTTGCATTGCATCCCTGTGTTTGGTGTTTTAACTAATTCATTATTTATTTATAAAAAGAAATCAAGGCATGAATGCACTTCAGTTAAAGGAATCAAATTTTTGTACTCTATTGCAAATATTCACAAATACATACAATTTTATCTTTACTTCTATACTCCTTTTCCATGAACTGCCTTTTTCTTTTTCTGGGGTAAATCTAACAATTGGCACTACTTAGACAATTAAAATGTCAGAAACTGTTTGATTAAAGAAAAGACCAAAAGTGGCATCCCCTCCCCATTTTTTTAGTTCGAGTTTGATGGCAAGATCCATAAGCTCTGATAATTTCCTAATTGCTTGTTTTTGGTGTTGCTTTAACCTAGATAACTGGGGTTATGATGGTCTTTTGCAGCTCTGAATTGACTAAGGATCAGATGGTATTAGATCTTGCAGTCGGTACAAAGACACTGTTGTGGAGTGGAGTTGTACTTGGTTTAATTTCTATTGGTATACTTGGCTATGCTGTTGTGAGGTACTCCAGTTTTTCTTTGACATACATTTATCCTTGGATATTCAATTCCTTGCCATATTTCTTATTTGCATATTGCCTGTCAAATATTTCTTTAGTCCTGTTACATTAGTAACTTCACTATCTGGTTATATGATTTCGCATTATGTTAAGATAAAGCATACTCAATATATTATATTCAGGAACTGGAACAAATGGAAACAATGGAGGCAACAAAGTCAAAGACAGCTTCCACAACCAAGTTATGATGCTTATGATGATGATTTGGAATATTTGGAGGAGACAGAAGTTATGGACAATGAGCTGTGTGTAATTTGCTTGATGAGAAGAAGAAGATCTGCATTCACCCCCTGCGGTCATCTTGTGTGTTGTCCACGCTGTGCCCAACTAGTAGAAAGTGCAAGCCATGCAAAATGCCCTGTTTGCTGCCAAAAAATTCGAAGTTCATTGCGAATTTATGGTTGAGGTGAAAAACTATTACAGCCTTTCTAAATGTGCATTTAACCTGTTATGGTTTCCTTTCCCTTTGTCTTTTTCTAGATTTAAAAGGGCTGCATTTTGAATGGGGCTCTGATTTGTTTTGTCAGCACGGGGTCTGCTGGTAGTTAAGGCATGGAAATGGAATGGACTGGATCCCGCACTGCCAGATTCATTAGTTTTCCTTTTTCTTCCTCAAGAATGCATATTATACATTGTTAATATGTCCAGGTAGGATTTTAGGATGTAGCTCATTCTGAAGTAAATAATATTGTAGGTTCCCTATATTTTCCTGCAAAGCTTTAATATGCTATAACCCCTACTAGTTAAAGCATCATGCTTTCTACCTTATGAGCCATGAAAGAACCTTTGATTCTTGTAACAGTTGGGTAATGCTTGGTTCATGGTATGGCTATTTGATGGTTATTTCCTCCTGGGTAATAACCATTTATACCTTTTTCTTTGTATTGAATAACCATTTCTATTTTATACCATGCCATACTCTTGATCTGTATATTTTATTTGCATGCAACAATTCTGAAACCATGACTGAAATTGAAATAGCTTAATCAGCATTCACTTAGTAGACTCACACTCCATTTATTTACATTGAATGTAGAAGAAGAAAACAGAGGGCTACAACTGCTCTGAATTCTCATCTATTTTAACATCCAACTTCCACAAGGAACAAAAGGAAACAGGTTGCCCTTTCCACCACAATCCAACACACCTATCTTTCTCTTCAACGCTCATCTCCCAGTTGTTGTCATACTTTCTCAACAAAGTTCGAGTTCCATCAATGGCATCCTCGCCGAATGCTTCTCCCACAAACCCTACAGCTCTCATCCTCTCGCACCATTTCTCCTTCCCTTCATTCATCTCTCCATGGTTTGTCAATGCCTTCGCCGCCTCCCCTTCCATTACTCTTCTTTCATCACTCTCCCTGCCTTTGAACGCAGAACTTGTTGAGTCCAAAAACCTCCATAAGTACTCCACTCTCCGTGAAAAACCCGTCGTAAAATCTTCACCGTTGCCGCACCTACGTTCCATGTTATTCTCGCTGAGAATCACCCCCTTTGGCTCCAAACTTCTTATTACCCTCAAGAATTGAGCTCTTTCATCTGGGGTGTTGTGATTTAGATGATGGAGTCTGAATTGCGCACAGATAATCAACGTTTCCTCTGGAGAGTTTTTGATGGATTCTGCCTTCAGATTCTGCAACGGGTGATTCTCCAGTCTACTGATTTGTAAATTGATGTTCATGGATTTGGCAAAGCTGGGAAGTCTGGAGTAGAAACTGTCCCCTGGTGGACCGATGGAAAATGGAGTTTCCCCCATTTGATCGTTCTCAGTGGCAGCAGCTGCAACAACGGTGATGCGAACCAAAGGAGGCGGCCCTCCGGAGCGGCGACTCAAGGCTTCAAGCAGCGTAGGCCATTGAACACCATGAGAAACCCCAATATCAAGAATATGAAGATTACCCGTCTTCTCTGGTTCTTGAGCAAGAATCTGGAGGATAGAATCGTTGGCAATCTTATTAGGGAATGCAAACCATGGACTGACCTCGTAGAACTTTAGCAGAGATCGCTGGAAGAATTTGGGCTCTGTAGAGGCAAAAGTTATAGGTCCTACGGCAGCAGAGGAAGCAGAGGATGTAGTGGAGGAGACTATGTGATTCAGGGCTCGCAACCCATGATCTGCGAGCCGGTGGTTGGCATCACCGGTCGGTGAAGCCAGCTCATAGAGAACAAACAGTAGGTGCTGCGCACGCGTGAGGTTTCCGGCACCTATTGCCGTAGCACAGGGGTTCAACAATTGTTCTGCCCATCTCCCTTCCTTGTTATTACCGTTATTACCGTTATTCCCTGTAGGCTTGTTTGCACTCTTCCTGTTTCCAACCCCCTTCTTAGCCGCAACCACCATCCCTTCATTTTCACCGATGCCATCCGGATTCTTTCTCCGTTGTTGACTCTGAGACGCCCCCGGAAACCCCTCCTGCGGAGCTTTCCGCTTCTTGGATACATCTACAAACGAAGGTGGATCAGAAACACTCGGATTTGCACTCACCCCATCAATAGCAACCGTATCCGCATCCCCAGTAATAGAAGTAGCAACATTAGCATCACTGATCAGATCTTGACCCAAATTCCGATTCTCATCCCACCATACATCGCCGGAGCTGTACGGATCATCCAAGAAAGACGGAAGGAACGACACCGAGTCGTCCAGCCAATCCAACAGGGGATTAGACTCTGGTTCTTCAATTGTCATCCTGTTTGGTTAGCGAGAAACCTTAGTGTTTGTTTCATTGACCAACACAGAATGGATCTTGTGGAAGCTGCTCCTTAGAAATGTATAAAAATAAACGTCCGAGTGAGGTGATGTATTGGTAGAAAGAGACACAAGAGGGAATATTATAAGCATAGTTGATTTGTAGGCTGTAATATTTTTATTTTGGGGATAATGTTGAGAGTTTTTTTATCTTTGTTTTTGGGTTTTGGGTAATTGTTGTTAAGTAATGATGGTTGGATGGTATGGGTTGTTGAGAATTGAGAGATCCACGAATGGGGAATGGAGTGAGTGGGGAGGGGTTTGGAAAATTGTGATTGGGGTTGAGATTGAAATGTCAAAGAGACGGCAGACTCTGTTTTTCAGTAAAAAAAAATGAATGAATTTTGTGTTTGTTTGTGGCCTATGCCTTTGGGAATTGGGAAAACGAAATTTTCTAATCCGAATAGGCTACATGAAGTGACAAGCTAACGGTTTGAGCCTTTGAGGTCGGTATTTCTAAACTATAAATTTTTTGTCTAAATCTGGAGAAAATAGAAAGAAAGAAAGAGATTAAGAAAGTGATAGTTTGTTGATAAGAGAATTTAATTTTTATTTTATTAATTAAAATTTGATTTTTTGAGATAGAAAGATAATTGTGCATAAATTTTTTAATTTTAATATAAAGGATTTGTTTTTTTATTAAATTGAAAAAAAATTAATTTAAAATAATGACAAACTTATTCAAAAATATTTTAGTAATTAAATATTAAAAAAAAAAGGGAAATGAACCAAGATTAGAGGTCGTTTGTTTGATTTTAAGAACCAAACAACTATTATTACTTGACATTAAATCAATATATATTATGTCTTAAAATGATAAGTTATTTTTTACTTAAAATTTATTTAAATTAATTATCATTTTTTATATAAAGAATATAATATTTTTTCATATTTTAATGTATTATTACTTCTCTCCTCCTTTAAGGGTAATATTTAACTAAAAATATAAACCATTTTCAAAATTTTAATTTATAAAAAAATAAATATTTTAAGACACAGTGTATATTAATACTTTGACTTATGCTATTCAGCCTAAATGGCATTATTGCTGTGAACATTCAAATTATTTATTCATTTCTTTAGATTATATCTGCATCAAACCTGTAAGTGATGAATACAAAGCAAGGCAAACACAATTCCTTGAAGCCATAAAGATAAAAGAAGAGTAATAACTAGGAAACATAGGAAGAGGTTTGAGTAACAGAATGACTAAAAATTATAGCAATTCTTTTATGCAAGGTAACAAGCCAAGTGAGAAAGGCAAACACAATTCCTAGAAGGCATACAGATAAAAGAACAGTAAGAACTAGGAAGCAGAGGGAAGGGTTTGAGAAACAGAATGACTAAAAATTATAGCAATTCTTTTATGCCAGGTAATAAGCCAAGTGAGAAAGTTCATCCCAATCCCACCGCAAATCGCGACCAAGTGAAGGCAACTCAGAACTTGGTTGTTGAGAAAGCTGAGAATCCAACCCCAAATTGTGACCAAGTGAAGGCAACTCGGAACTAGGTTGCACAATTTGGATGTGTTCAGTCAAGCCTAGATGTGCCATAAGAAGTGCTACATGGGTAAGCAGCTCCCCGCCATGCTTAAGCTGCGTTGCATGCTCTCTCCATCCGCATTTTTTTGCAGCAAATGCCAGCATTTCCATCCACACGTGTGCAGTCATCTCCCATTTGGCTTTGTGATCCTACCGCAATTCCTCAACCAGTCCCTGCAATTTCAATGCCAGCTTACAACCATCCCGCAGGACCAACTTGTTGTGAGTTGACAGAAATCCAAGTTCGTAGTTGATGTGAAGCAAAGCACTGGTAGCATCATTGTTTGTCAGTGACTTCCCCTTGCCAAGTAATCTTATCACCTCCTCTCGAGTATCTGTGATCCTCACTTCACCAATCCCCTTAGGTAGCATGAGGGGCCGCACCAGGAGGAGATACATCATATAATCTGACAAGAGCTTGCTAATTTGGCAATATGGACCCAGAACACCACCTGAATATTTTTTATGATCATTGTAGAAAAGAAGAAACGTAGCAATATGCCACAGAAGGATGCTGTGGCTGAATTCTACGTCATCAATGCTCCATTTGAACTCAGTTTTATTGCTGTGAAATACATGATTCCCCCTCTCCTTCAATATACCTAAGAGCACCTCATAGTCAAATACCTCATGTCCAGAGTCAGATTCCTCATCACCATATTTCTCCTTAATGTGTTTATATTGCTTGAACTTCTCTAGAAGATGCGAGAGGATGAAGTTCTTCTCGTCAAGATTGACTTGTTTCCAAGTAGCCCACCAAAACTTCCCCAAAATGTCTTCAGTGTCAAGACATCTCAAAATTGTTGTCCAGCTGGATGTCTTGGCCTTGAGGCAATAGCCTATCAGGCTATGTTGTGCCATGGATACTACTCCTTTCTTCCTGGCCTTACAACAAACCAGCCAGGAAACAACTGTCTGACCCACAACTCATGTACCGTTTTGCTCTGAATGGTTAACCAGGGCATTGTCCAATCAGAGAAAGCATGTGAAATGGCCGAGTAAATGTCAAGAAAAATTGCTCCACCCAACAGCATGTTATGGAAATGTCCACCCTTGGATAGCCACTCTTACCAACCACGATTGAGAAGGCAATGACTGCCGCAAAAGTGGACAACAAGCACATGCCATGGAGAATTACTCCCACTATAGAATGCAGTATAGTAGTTTTGGTGTAGAGCACATCATACAGGAACCCTAGTACAATTTGTACCAATTTGAAGGCCTCTTCTGCAGAAATAATGGGGGGAAGCAAGAAGATGTTGCTTAATTCTCTAATAATCCTAATTAAGCTTGAGAGAAGAGAGATATGTTCATCTTAAACAGGCAAAAAGCTGTATGGATATATTTGCCTTCTTCAATGACATTTTTGTGCCATAAACACTCCTCCAATGTCTCTGGAGGTGGAGGACGACTGCTCATCGAATAATCACTTGGGGAATGAATCAGAGATTTTTCTGTGGCATGAGTCAGAGTTGAGAAAACAGAGTTGCTAAACAGCCTGTTGCTTCCAGCCCTGAGAATCCAAATCCTTTCTCCATACTTGACAATCCCAGCAACAAATATCAGGATGGCCATGTATGTGAGGGTTGATTTGGTCCGAAATCTCATGTAGACATCAATGGCCACCCCAACCTGGATGAGAAGGCCAAGCAAGTACCACAACCAAAGCTCATTGTCTGATAAGGAGTAGGCACTGATGGTTTGTGACCCACCAAGGTTCAAGAGCAGAAATGGTGTCCAAAACACAACCAGTTCACTGTTAAGCTCATTTTGTTCAGCCTTGAGAACGGTGTTTAAGGCAACGGTGGCTATCCAATCGGCTACTAAGTATGTTGACCAAACAAGGATGGCAACGTAAGGAGAAGCTCTGCCCTGGTATCTCCGAAGGTTACCGAACCCAATAAGCACAAAATGGAGAAACAGGCGGAGTACTACCATTCCTGGGAGCTCCCATTTGACCCAGAGTTCTTTCATCATTTCAGACAACATTTTCGTAAAAGTTCCAGTTTTGATCTCTGTGTAGAAGAAAGCACTGGCAACTGAAAATAGAAAAGTCAATAAATTGAGACCATGGATGGGATTTAATAATACTCATTCACAAGGCAGCAGATACAATCAAACAAGCATCCATTAACATCCATTACGCATGTGAATTTTGTATATCAGGACTCAACAAATCATTAGAAATGAAATATTACAAAATTAAAATATTTATCAGCTAGCTAGTCATTCTCATTGAAAGAATACAGTCACTCTTTCTTATGCTGATGAGCAATTGGTCCAAATCCCAAGTTCAAATATCCCCACATCCAATAATCAAAAAAATATACATATATCATCTAAAGGAAGCAGTTGTGCAAGCATATTATGCAATGCAATATTAGGAGCTTCTCTGAATGGCATCATAATATGTCTCCATACTTTTCTGGTTGCATTAATAACAGCTAAACTATAAATTAAGTTAAAGCAGGGAAATCCTAAATAAGAATATAATTAGAGATACAAAGAGAAGAGTGTGAACATCATTTGTTTTCATAATATATTACATGAATCCAAGACAAGAACTAAAAATTGTCTTTAACCTATATAATTATAGCCATAGTTGTGGAAGCATATTATGTAATGCAAATAACATATTAATGTGCCAAAAGAAATGTAGTTTTACATGAAGACAATCTAGGAAATACTTACTTGTGAGCAGCATTGATGATGACTTATTTCTGTGCAATGAAATCCTTGCAGAGATGAAGTGGTATGATACTTTACCATTTAAGAAGCGGACTAACATACTTATATATAGATGCCCTTCTTAAATGTTATGAAAGAGAATCAAGGGAAACACAAGGATACTTGGTCTTCAATCCACCATTCGCATATGCTACACTTTATGCTAAACTGAAGAATTCCCCAGGTATGTTTGTCACCTTTCCCTGTTTCATAGATAATAGCATCAAAGTATGTCTCCATATTTTTCTGGTCACATTAATAACAATTAAGCTATAAACCAAGTTAAAGCAGGGAAATACTAAGTAAGAGTATTATTATAGACACAAGAAGAGTTTGAACATCATTTTTTAAAATAAAAGGCTTAATTTGTCTGGAAGGTTTTTAAAGGAAAATGACACCCAATTTTTTGAAAAGCAATACATGAGTAATTGGAAAATCCGGTGCGGTTAAAGCTAAAGAATCAAACTATTCATTAATGTATCACCCTTTTCTACAAGAAAAAAAAAAGGATTAAAAAAGGCAAAGAAACAGAAAGGATTAGAAATACACTATCACTTTCTGGCAGGACTAAGGATAGAATAACCACCTAAATTTGCCTTAAAGCAATGAATATGTTCACTAAGGAATGGAATTCTAGAGATGCAAAATGCAAGCTAACTCGGCTTCCCCCTCAAAGAACAAAAATATATTGAAGCCATTAGATCTTAAATGAAAAGAAGAAGAAGAAGAAGAAGAAGAAGAAGGAAGAAAGAAGGGAAGAAATGAAACATTTTTGGTTAAGTGCTAGTTAGTGAAAGGCTTCTTCAGCATCTATGTAACTTTGGTAATCCAACATACACAACAAGATGATGGAATGCTAAGCAGAGCCGTTTAAAATATAATTCATTACATTTGACAATTGAAAAGAACGTAGCAGTAACCTAAATGTAAAAGGTTCCCTCTCCCATTGGCGAGGGTTCAAACCTGTATAATCCTCCTTCCCACCTCCTTCCTCCACAGGTTGAACCACTTTTGCTATCCCATCCAAAAAAAACAAATGTAGCAGTAACCTAAATAGAACACTCCTGACTTCAATGTAAACTAATTAAACTAACTTAGTTATGAGTTGAAGAAAAATGTTAGCTTACCAGTATCCCTGTGGTTAAAGTCTAGAAATTCGTATTTCATGTATTTAACAGTAGGCGTAAATCCAACAAATCAAAGTTATATTCGTATAAAATTAACTGTAACAGCAAGAGAGAGCTAATAGCAAGAAAAAACCGCCAACAAAATTCAGTACCCAAAAGGAATCAGGGGAGATGAAACATCAAAATATCCCTCTTCCACAGGTCTCGGTACCTTTCGGAAGTCATCCGCCTCTTCTTTCCCGCCACGTCCCAGGAGGATAGCTTCGAGAAATTGCAAATTTCAGGCGGAAGCAGGTGCAAAACCAACGCATGCAGCTCTTGGTCCCATCGCGGAGCCATTCGCTCCCTCTTCGATATAGACGCAACCATCACCTAAGCGGAGGCGGGAGGCGGGAGGCGGACGGCGGACGGCGGACGGCGGACGGAGAGAGAGCTGCTGTTGTTGGTGAAGGAAAGGAAGGAAGCACTACATTAGACTGCACACTGCACACTGCAACTGTGGTCCCCTACATCCGACGTGGACGAAGTTTTCCAACCCAAACGGTCCTGCACACTGCACACTGCAACTGTGGTCCCCTACATCCGACGTGGACGAAGTTTTCCAACCCAAACGGTCTTCCCTTACACGTCAGCCCGAAAGTCGAAAAAAGTTAACCATGTCTAGTTTTAACGGAAAGGAACCGCCTTGGGTAAAATTTCAAACTAGGAGACAAAATTTGAAAATAATTGCAAAGTTATATAATTGCTTAAGAGTTACGACTTTTTAATGTTTTTTAAAATGGTCCCCAACCACTCAACTCAGAGTTCCCAACTTCCCATACCCCAAGAGTCGAAGTCCATGACAGACCCCGTGCCATAAAGAGTACTGCTAAGTGTCACATTGACATGGTAGGAGGTTTTTTTTTATTATTATTATTAATTTTTCGATAACTGATAATTATATTAAATTTTAATTAATTTAAAATTAAATCGCGTTACATTTTATTAAAGAGAAAGTTCTCTCAATACCTGTTTCTCTATTTACAAAATTTAAATTCAAATTTTCATTTTAAAAAAATTAAATTTTTTTCACTTAAAGTAAGAAGTTTATCACTATGGCAAGAGTTCTCTACCATAGGGAAACATATAAGATTTGGCATTGCATGGAATGACCCGTCTCTTGCCGCGTATTCTTTTCCTTTTAATTTTTTCAAAAAACAAAGAAATTTATTTCCAAGAAAAAGGATACTCTATCTATAAACAATATTACAGTTACATTATATATTAGGGGTGCATTTAAAATTATAGTTTGGAATTTTTTTTAGTAACTGTATAATA